AATAGAATATAAATATACTTTTACATAAATATTGAAATGTTTAAGCAATGTATTAATTACACAACAAAACACATAAATACACATCATGTTTAACGATTTATTTAATGACCTGTTTCAATCAGTGGCTCGTTTTTTTGTTGTTATTTTAGCAATTTAACATCTCTCGACTCTCCCATCAATAGGGACAGAGTAAGATAAAAGAAAAACATATTTAGGATTACTTCATTAGGACAATAATATACTATACTGGTCGCTAACTTACATATCTGCATATATTTTACGATATACAGTCAGAATTAGTGTAAACCTAACTGTTTCGACAACTTAGCATGAGCAACAACGGTCAACGTGTGATGAATTTTGTATATTCATTTCAGCATCACAGGGGGCAGCACTACGTTGTTTGCCTCTAAGTTTGTAACCGGAAGTTTGTCACAAACCAGCGACTGTTGCCATTTTGACGACGACAGGAAAACCCAGAACACTGCGTGCTTGCTATTTATCTACGTATTTTGTTCAAATTAACCTACCACCATGGCTATGCAAGCAGCGAAACGCGCTAACGTAAGTTAAAACCAATCGACTAATGTAAATATTAGCTGAGTCCTTACATAGTTAATATCCGGTTCATTGTTAGCACACGGTTAGCCGTTAGCATGCTAACTAGAGCGCCTGAGAAGAGCTTCGGTTACTCTATTTATTTAAAGCTATTGCAGTGTTGATTTCTATATTTGTTGCACTGACGTTGAATTCTGTAATACTTTATTATTGTGTGAGACCTACACACTACAATTAGGAATTTTCCTAATTGTATACGAGGCGAAAAATGCTGTCGGACATGGATGCTAATTATTAGCATATGGGTGTTTACGTATAAAGATGTTTAATATTGCGTGTTTTTACTAATAAAACAAACGTTTCAGAAGCTTGGAAGATTTTGGCAGAAGTCTATCAATTATAAATATGTTAAGAGTTTGAAGCAGAGCTGCTCAAAGTTGGTACCAAGCCCTTAAAACGTTAAATGTTCATTGAAAATACGAAATAATATGGTAGCTACAAGTTAAAAATCTAGTAATAATCTTTTTCAGCTATAATTTTTACTTAAACTGGTTTCTTTACTAGTCGTGTACAAATAAATGGTTTGGAATGCATTTCTATTTTCTTTTAAACCATTGTACAGGTCTGAGAAGCTGTAAACAATCTCTGATATATCTAAACATTGTTTCTTTCTCTGTGATTAGTGAATTTTTTTTTTTTCATTGCAGATCCGATTACCTCCTGAGGTGAACAGAATCCTGTATGTCAGGAATCTTCCTTACAAGATTACAGCTGAGGAGATGTATGATATCTTTGGGAAATACGGACCAATACGACAAATCCGAACGTAAGCTCAGTTTCAGACACTTTTTTGGGGAATATATTGAACTTTGTTAATGTTTTTGTAAAGATGGAATGTTTTCCTACATTGACGGTAAAAATCACCCACGTGCTTTACTTGCGAGACTTTTGCTTTTGCTGTTTTATTGTTATACAAAGAAGATTATTGGTTTAATCCAGGACGTCCTCGGCATATGTTACGTTTTGCTTTATATAATTAAACTGCACAGGTTGGTCTGGTGCTCACTGTGTTTGTTTCTCTTCTCAGAGGGAACACACCTGAAACCAGAGGAACAGCTTATGTCGTGTATGAAGACATCTTTGATGCCAAGAATGCCTGCGACCACCTGTCGGGCTTCAACGTCTGCAACCGTTACCTCGTGGTTCTCTACTACAATGCAAACAGAGTACGTCTCGATGGCACAAGCTTCCACAGTCTGGTCCCCAAGCAAAGCCAAATAATGTTCACTTTGTGTGGGAAAGGGTTAATCCGTCGCCTTGGTTCCAGTTAAATTTGGATTTCCGTGTTATTGTTTTTGCAGGCGTTCCAGAAAATGGACACGAAGAAGAAAGAGGAACAGCTGAAGCTCTTAAAAGAGAAATATGGCATCAACACAGACCCTCCGAAGTAGCGTCTCCGAGGCCCTCTCATCTTTCAGTTTTCATTCTTTGTAAAAACAAAAAACAATTATTTCCCATTTTGATTGGTTTATGCTTGTGATTACAATTGTGGATAATACCGTTTTACACATTTTCTTTTATTTCTCTTGCTTTAAATCGAAGCCAGATAGTTTCTATTTAACTGTTTTATTTTGATCCATCCAGTTCAGCAGAAATGGTTCTGATATTTTTAGTCATCTGACTAAAAGCTGGAGTCAACATGAACTGCTCATGTAGAGTTAAACTTTTCTGTAAAATAAATGCTTCTTTTTCTAAAAACCTGTTTCCCTTCTTTTCATCACATTCTTCATATAATTATGTAATAGTGTTGCCCTCCGAGTAAGCCTGTGAGATCAATACACTTCAGTTAGAGCTTTATGCAACTAGAAGGACTCTGCTTATGTGTTTGACACGTCTAAATGTAAATCCTCAAAATGAGAATATATTTTGGGAAGGATTTTTAAAATTATTTTCACCCATCAATCAGTTCAATTTAAACTTTACACGGGAATATATAAATGTTTATATGTCCTTTTGAAAAAAAAAGTTTTCTCAGGAGGTGTCACTTTTTAGTAATATCTACAACAAAATTAGAGCTGAAATCCAAAAGTGGTCTAATTTACCAAATAAATTTATACATTAAGAATTTCAGTTTTTAAACAATGGTCTAAAAAGTAAAATAGAAGTACAAACTGCCTCCTGGAAGAATTAGGGACAGGTAACAGTGAAAGTTGAAATTTGTAAATATCTATTTCATGTTCAAAGTTAGCTTACAGTAGCGTTGAGCTAATGCTCGCTTGGAATTTATTTAGCATTTGTTAATGTCTGGCTACATTTTATTAGCAACAGGTCCACCAACCACAAAAAAATGTGGTATTTTTGCAGTATATAAATCATTTTTGTTCAAATTCTAGAGACACTTGGACTTCAAAAAATAATAGCTTAATTGCTAGTTTGGCGTTTTAGATCCAGTTTAAGAAACGCTTGCAGTTCAATCGAAATTTAAGGATGTCTACAAAGTAAATCGTAAAATGAACTTTTTTTTTTTTAATTTCTGAATAAGTGTTCATACAAAATAAATACATCAAAGTAGAAACTGTTGAATTTATTAAGCATTACTAAGTTTTTCTCATGCAAGAAATGGATAAACTCTGGAAAATCAAACATTTTTCCACACTTTTCCATTCCTGGAAATTCCAAATATTTCGGCCGTGAATGTTGGTTGAAAGGATGGTTGGTTGAGGTATCAGACCAGACAACTGCCCATAGAGTTTATTTTATTAGATTAAATCACAACACAGGGAGTAGTGCAGCCATGTCTTCAGGGACACAATACATGCTACAAAAGAATAGCTTTTTTTTGTTTTGTTTTGTATTTTTACACTGTTGCCATTCCTGACTTGGTATCCTCTCAGCAGTAACAGGGTCGTAGTTAGAAACATCATCAGGCCTAAGATGTTCAGATTAGACACTTTACCAGGGTTACAATCCACACTGCTGAAGGGATGAAGATGGACTAACATGATAAATCTTTATTGCCAAATCTGCTTCTTTCTTCTGTCATCCCACTAAATAAATACATAAAGTCTGGAATATACTGGGGCCAAGCAAAGTTAGTCATGTCACCGTTGGGAGGTACTACTTCACTGGACTTCGATGTGTAGAACATATGAAACAAAGGGAGTAAAAAACATACAAAAATCAGACTGACTGGTAAAAGAGAAATACTTTGAGGGGCCGAAGAGGGCAAGTTGTAAAAACCTACTGAACAGAAAATCTTGACCTTAAGAGCTGTCCTCTAGGAACACCACAAACACCTCGCCTCTGGGTTACTTTAATACTCAAAGACTCTTAATTCCTTGTAACGATATGCAACCTATGAGCCAAAATGTACTAAATGTGACAAATAAGTAGAGAGTTGAATCAGAGTAGTTTTCCTAATATAACTCCAGCCTGTTCAATCCTAAATCAGTCGCCTTCATTGGGTGTACCTCGGAGTTCTGCTAGTTTAGCTCTCGTCCAAAACGACAGTCCTCATCGCTCGGTGTCGGCCAACTTGTAACGAGATAAATGTGCTCAAATACACATCGGGCACGGGATATTTAGGTCTTAGCAACATATAGCACAGCTAATCTACAAGGAAACATGCTCCCACAGTTAAAAGCAATCCAAAGAAAAGGTCTCAACGGACCACAGAGCTTACAACCCGTACAAGAATACTCGTAGGAGGACTTACAGCAGGCTGATTTATTTTGAAAAAGAAAAAATGAAAACAACCAAACAAAAAAAAACTGTCTCCCCTCAAGAGTCACTGCGTCGCGTTGATAAGGCTTTCTGTCTTCAATCGCCGGATGGAAATTCGACTTTTAAGGCAGAACCTAAAGGCATGCAAATGAACAACATTGACTGTATTGGTGGACGGTACAGGCTCGTTTCGGCGGGAAAACTCGGGCCAATCCGCCTCGTCTAGAGCTAATATTTGAAAAGACGGATGGGGGTACTGGAAGAAGGTACGCCATTGTAGGCGTTCGGTTCGGTCGACAGGTTTGGTGAAACACGCACAGCTAGCATCAGTAAACTCGGAACAATAAATAGAGTAGCGGCAAATTCAACGTCAGCACATCACATGATGCGCAAGCTATGGTAGAATGAAACTGAATGGAAAATACTTTTGCACACTTCACATTTTGGCAGTTGATCTATAAATAATTGTAATATATATTCATATTTATATTTCATCATATATATATATAGTTATTTGTGCAAGTTGTTTATATGTAGAGATGTGTGTGGGTGTGTGTGTGTTTGCAGGTGTTGGTTTTGTGGCGTTGGTGTGCACCTGCACACTGCTGTATGCTGTGTGTCGATGTTTTTGTTTCATAGCAAATAACATTCTCATGCACACGAGTGTTTCAAATACAAGAAGCAGATCCATTGAAAGGTAGTCCAAGCATATAATTTTTTCTTTTTTTTTTCAGTGGAAATAGCTGCAAACTGAATGGAACATGAAATTCTTTCTGTGCAGTCTGTGGCGGCTGGTGGGGGCGCTCTCTCTGCCGCGTCCCGGCCTATTTCTGGAGGTCGCACTGCAGCAGTAGTACGATGGACGGGTCACTCTTGGCCGCCTCTTTGAACTCCTCCAGCGTGATCTGGTCGTCGTTGTTCTTATCCATCTTGGAGAAGATCTTGTCTACCCTCTGCTCGGGCGTCAAGCCATCTTCGTTCATTTTCATCATGATCACCGTGCCGACCATTTTGTAGATCGCCTGCCGGGAGGAAAAGAAAAAGCAAAGAAGCAAAAAGAAAGAGGGTTGGTGAGCCTACATGGATAAAACTAACATGTCACCCCGAGAAAGAGGAAAGTTCAAAATTATTTTACACATCTGGCAGATT